CACAGACTCAGGAGTTGCTCTGTCACTGGGCCATAGTACTTCATCTTTTTATTCTTTGAGACTGGGTCTCGCAGAGTCACTCAATACCAGAGCAGGGCAGTTCGCAGTTCTGCCTCAGCTGCCCGAGTGAGCGCTAGGATTGCAGCACTGGGTCCAGCCGCAAGCAACACAGAAGTGGGAGATTTTGAAGCATTTCTAGAGAAGAAAGCTGATCCACATGTGGAAAATTCCTGTGCTCTCCTTGCCTGCCAGGTTGTTGGGGAGCAGCAGAGGAGGAAGAGGTTGTCACATTCCCTGGGCCCAGCGCACAAGAGGCACACACTTTGTCGCTGAGGCCGCAGGGTTCTGCCTTCGGGCCTTGGGAGGCCTTGTTTCTGGCGCCTGTGGGCGGTGTTCTTGGCAGCCTTGGAAGGATTTCTCTGGCGGCCACTGTCACGATGCTACCCCAGAGAAGGGGGCCTGGCATCTCCTGACGCTTTCAGGCGGGATGTGGCAGTTTCCTTCCCCGACCTGTGTGTCCCCTCCTTCCTGCAGAGGAGCCTCTGGAGGTGTTCGGTGAGGCAGAGGAGCCCTGCTGACCGGCTGCTGCTGAGCCGCCAGCCTCCGCCCAGGGCGGGTCAGAGCTGCCGGCCCCCTGTGAGACACCAGGTGTGACCAAGTGCCCATGAGCAGGAGGGACCCCAGGAGGGACCTGCTAGGCCAGGGCCGATCTGCTTTCTTCTTCCCACCCTGCCCTTGGGGCCGCGCTGAATCCAGGCGGGGCGCCTTCTCCCAGCTCCTGGACGCTGCTCCTCTAGGCCAGCGGCCTGCTGCCAACTGCTGCCAACGGGCGCCCACAGGCCCCGCCCCATGTCACTGCAGGCACACCTGCCACAGCACAGAGCGAGGCCCAGTAAGTGTGAGCTGCTCTGTGGTCACGCTGATTGATGCTTCTTTGAATTTTCTTCTTTATGCTCCCAGCGCTGAATGACTGAATGGGGCCGGCGAGGCGCAGCACGTGGAACCCCAGGGATCAAACTCAAGCCCTTACGCTTGGCAGGCAGGCGCTTACGGCCCGCTGCGCTGTCTCCTGGCCCCGCAGATGGAATTCCTGTCTGTCTCTTGCCCTTCCCTTGCTCCCTCCACTTTGGTCTTCCCCTTGGCAAAGGACCTGCCTCCCGGTACCTACTGTCTTCTATTTTCCTCTCTCTATATTTAGGTTTCTCATCCAAGAGAAATCATGTGAAATGTAAGCTTGTAGGTCTGATTTTGAAATTGGTTTTCTCATTCAAACACGTGCCTTTGAGATCTTTCAAGTTCTAACCTTTCTGGGTTTTTGTTTTATTTTTTGAGACAAGGCCTCACTATGCAGTTCAGGCTGGCCTTGAGCTCACTTTGGAGCTGGTCCGGAACTTGCAGGGATCCTCCTGCCTCAGCCTTCTGAGTGCTGAGATTACTGGTGTGCGCCACCAGGTATTTTTTCCCTTTTTTTTTTTTTCAGTGCTGGGTATAAAACTCAGGGTCTTACACATGCTAGGCAGGCACTGCACCGCCCCAATACTGAATTGCACCCTTAACATCTTCCAGACTGTTTACTCCAACCTTCACGCTCCTATATTTCATACTGTCTTAGTTACT